CTCACCTGTTGGACTTTTTCTCCCAAAATCTGGTCAGCCAGCGAAATGATTTGGTTAAATTTAGCTCACTGTTTTTTTTCAAACTCAGCCACTTCAAGATGGGTGGACTTCAACTCCCAGAATTCCCCAGCCAGCTAAAAAAATCATAGGGTTGAAAGGGACCGCAAAAGGTCTTCTAGTCCAACCCCTGGTCCCCTGGTATAAGGCGATCTTATACCATTCCGGCTAAAGGGTATCATCGAATGGTCAAATTCCCCAACCAGCCAAGCTGAAGTCAGATCGTAAACACAGTTGCAGATTCACTTAGGGACTGTTCATTAGTAAAGGCTAAGGTTTCTGCTCTGCCCTGCCTAGGTTAAAGTTGTTTGCTTTACATTTACAGTTCTTTCTGTGGTGGCTAAAAATTGTAGAAAAACAACAGATTTTTTTAAATCGTGGTTTTAAAAAGCAGCATGATAAACGAGCCTTAAAACCCCATGGCACTGATGATGTTACTCAGTTTGGTCATGAAACGTCTGCAAGAAAACCGCTAAGCTCAGAAAACACCAAGGACCTCACAGTTGAACGCTGAGCTACAGATATTCTCATCTATCAAAGCCTGAAACAGTTTCAAAAAATCTGGCTTAATCCTTTTGCGGTGCCAAATTTTTTTTGGGGGGGAGGGGGGGAAACACCAGCATTTGTGGCTGATTTGCCACCAGTGAGCTGGACATTACATGCACCAACTCCAAGCACGTGAATCAGCAATCCGTTTCATTCCGGCCCATTTGGTCTGCTCAAACAATCTTTTTTTCCCCCCTTTCTCAAACTCTGGCAAGGGAATAAACAAGTTGTGTGTCTGACTGAAAGGGCAGGGCATCTCCCTGTCGTGGTTAAACAGGCTTGTGTTGTGTGACTGCGGTCGAGTGCAGCTGGATCATTTTCTTTTGGTTGTTTTAAGAGGCCCTGGGTAAAAATATCGGTGGATATTTTTTTTTTCTCCCAAGCTTGAAGGGGTAGCCTGAAATATTTTGCTGGAGTGTGTCTGTGTGTGTCTGCATGAGAGAGAGAGGGAGGGAGAGGAAGAGAGAGAAAGAAAGAAAAAGAAAGAAGGAAAGAAAGAAAGAAAGAAAGAAAGAAAGAAAGAAAGAAAGAAAGAAAGAAAGAAAGAAAGAGAAAGAAACAGAGAGGGCGGGAGGAAAGGAAGGAAGGAAGAAAAAGAAATTAAAGAAAGGAAAGAGAAAAAAGAAAAGAGAAAGAAAAAAAGAAAGAAAAGAGAAAGTAACAAACAAGAAAGAAAGAAAGAAAAGAGTGCAAGTGAAAGAGAAAGAAGAGAGAGAAAGAAAGAAAAAAGAAAAGAGGGGAAGGAGGAAAGAAAAAGAGAAAAAAGAAAAGAAAGAAAGGAAAGAAAGAAAAAGAAAGAAAGAAAGAAAGAAAGAAAGAAAGAAAGAAAGAAAGAAAGAAAGATGATTAAATAGTTGAAAATCAGGGTGTCTCCACCTTTTAGAGAGGAAAATGTAGAGTTTTATTCAAGGGTGTCCAACCTTGGCAACTTTAAGACTTGTGAACTTCAGCTCGCTGGGGAATTCTGGGAATTGAAGTCCACAGTTGCCAAGATTGGAGACCCCTAGTTTAAACACTTCTGGGGATTTGCTTTGCTGCTCCAAAGCCTTTTAAAGGATCTTGATTTTTTTTTAATGTAAGGGTGACTTACTCTGGCCAAAGGACTTGCCACATTTCACTCAATGGTATGAGGGCCTGATTGGATTCGCCGCCTTTGATTGGTTGGCCTATAGATGTAGACTTTGTATAGAGTGGTATAGTAAAATAGGGGACTCATTTATAGACAATGCAGTAGCTTAAAATAATGTCAGTGATATAAACGTGTTAGGAATATACACAGATACAGAAATATTTGCATTAGACGAGAATGCAGGTAGATCTTGACTTACAACCAAGTGAGGCAGGAATTACAGTGTTAAGTCATGGCCCGGTGCCTTAACCACTAGACCAAACTGTCTATCTCAGTTCCCGGATAGGGATACAGAAAAACATCCTGGGGTGGAGCCTTAATCCGAATTGAGCCTAGTGGCGCTTGGTGGTTGAGGGTGATTTTTTTTTCCAGTTTCTGTCCAAAGGGAGGAAAATTTCACAGAACCAGTTCATAAGCTCGACTTCACGCTCTCCTCTTTTCCCAGGTGTCGGTTTTTCAGCTTAACAGAGACTCCTGAAGACTATACCATCATGGTGGATGAAGATGGCTTCAAAGGTATGAGCACCTTTTGGAGTGCAGGTCTTTCCTCATTTACTGACCGCTCGTTCCGCTGTGGCCAGGACTGAAAACAATAAATTTGTAGCCGATTTCTGACTATTTCCTACCTTCACTGCTTACGTCAGTTTTGCGACTGCCGTTAAGGTCGGTATAGGTGGCACAGTTTCGTTTTCCTCTCTCTATCCTGCGGCACAGACTGGTTGGAGAGAAAGGGACTGCAAGAGAGTAAAGATACAGATCAGAAGGAACATGTCATCATGCTGGGAACCTGGAATGGGGACTTGTGGGTGTACTACATGAACAGCATCCAGTGGGTTAAGAGTTAAGAAAAAGAAGGGAGGGGTGAGGGAAGGGAAGGGAAGGGAAAGGAAGGGAAGGGAAGGGAAGGGAAGGAAAGGAAAGGAAAGGAAAGGAAAGGAAAGGAAAGGAAAGGAAAGGAAAGGAAAGGAAGAAAGATGAGAGAGAGAGGGAGGAAAGAGAAGGGGAGATAATGGAAGGGAAGAAGGAAAGGAAAGGAAGGAAGGAAGAAAAGGGAAGAGAAGGAAAGGAAAGAAAGATGAGAGAGGGAGGGAAGAGAAGGGAAGGAAAGAAGGGAAGGGAAGGGAAGGAGGAAGGAGCCTCTGACAATTTCTTTTACAGCAGATATATAATAGAACTACTAGGATATAATACTGTATATTGTTAAAAAAAATCTTCAAGCTTACACAGAAGTTAAACAACACGATAACAAGACTATGGGAACTAGGCTATGGGAACTAGGTATGCCCAGCTTAAAGAAGAGAAAGACCAGGGGAGACAGGATAGCAGTCTTCCAGCATCTCAGGGGCTGCCCCAAAGAAGAGGGAGTCAAGCTATTCTCCAAAGCACCAGAAGGCAGGACAAGAAGCAACGAGTGGAAACTCATAAAGGAGAGAAGCAACTTAGAACTAAGGAGGAATTGCCTGACAGTCAGAACAATGAATCAGTGAATAGTTTGCCTCCTGGAGTTGGGGTGCTCCATTATTGGAGGTTTTCAAAAATAGACTGGGCGGCTATTTTACGGTGACCATATAAGGTCTCCTGCCTTGCACAGAAGGTTGGATTAGAAAATCTCCCACTCTGTGGTTTTCTTCTGTTCCTATGTTTCTATGCTCTAGTGTGACCTCCAAGAGGTTTTCTCACATTTCTTCCAGAACTTCACGCCTCTGAGTACCTACAAGTGGTGGATTCCACCTGGCTGGTGCTCAACGTCTCATCTAACGGCAGCGCCTCCCTCAACCAGCCTATAGGAGTCACCAAGATTGCGAAATCTGTCATCGCACCCTTGGCCGAGCATAATGTCTCTGTCTTAATGCTGTCCACCTACCAGACGGATTTTATTTTGGTGAGCTTTTGGGGCAGACGGTTCCAGAGCCAGGGTGGCTACCGTGGTACGATAAAGGGCTGGGTTCAACAAGTAAATGGGAGGTGATAACGGCTGACACTGAGAGGGAGCAGTTAGCCAACCAGCATCAAGTCAGGATTTGGAATAACGGAGAGTTTGGATGGTACTTTGAAGGTCTTCTAGTCCAACCCCGTACTCCAGCAGGAGAAATGGAAGCCGTTCAAAATGGAAGCTGCAATGCAATGCTGTAATTTGGGTGATCTTTGGTCTGCCTTTCAGGTCCGGGAGAAGGATCTGCCCGTGGTCATCCACACCTTGGCCAGCGAATTTGAAATTTATAAGGAGGAGAATGGAGAACTGGCCCCTGCAAACTGTGAAGACATCAGCAACGGGTTCCACAAGGCAAAGCAAGGTGGGATTTTCTCTTGGTGAGACCAACACAGATGAATTCTAGTCCTTGAGTACTTCTAATATTTGAGAGACTGAGAAGAAGGGATTGGCTTGTGCTCCAAAGCACCAGAGGGCAGGACAAAAAGTAATGGGTCATGCCCCTGTCGGAAACTGATTCCAAGGGGGAGGCTGAGCAGCTGACAGGGAGTGGGAATGTGGCTCTGGTGGCTGGGGAAGAAACTGGGGAAGGGCAATGTCCAGATGGGCAGAGCAGGGCAGAGGTAGAAGAAGGGAGAGGGAGTTCAGAGGAAGACCCAGGCCCACCCCTTCTTCATCATAGGGCACGCCGTGAGGAATGGAGAAGGGAGCAACATGGGTTGCATGGCTTACGGGGGAGGAGAGGGCCCTGATTCCCTTCATTAGCCATACCTGGGAACACAGTGTTTAAAAAGGGAGAAGTGCGCACAGCAACTTGTTGCAAGCAAATCATGAATTATCTGGTATCGTCATCTGGTACTCCCAACTGTGTGTGTTTTGCTGGCCTTTGAAGTCTGCAATTCCTTATCCTGCCCCATCAAGTTAATTACTGCAGAGTGGTTAGTGTGGATTTTTATTTACAAGCTTGTATGTACTTTGTTTTCGGACTGAATTTCCTTCACTTAAAGACTGTTTTGGGGAGAGTTTTTTCTACAGCCGAAGGTAATTGGACATTGGGGGCAAAGTTAGAGGTATTAAAAAGACTTTTCTTACTTATGTGACTGTGTTGCCTTTGTGCCACGCCCTGGGTCATCACATACTGGGTGGAAAATTACAAAGAGAGAGCTCCAACTTAGAACGAAGGAGGAATTTCCTGACAGTGAGAACAATTAATTAGCAGAACAGCTGGAATCGAGGGTTTTTCTTTCCTAAGGGATCAGATTGGGGCAAGACTGACAGCGTCTCTCTCTCTCTCTCTCTCTCTCTGCTTCCCAGAGTTCAACGCCACAGTCCATCCCGTTCAGACTCCTCAAAACAGATTCTGCATTCTCAGCATCGCCCCCGAAACCTTGCCAGCCATCGCCACGAAACTTATCGATGTCCTGTTCTATTCAGCCAGGTGAGTGGCATTTTACAACCCCCCCCCCCCCAGTTGTTAAGTGAACCATTGCACTGTTAAGTTAGTAAAATAGTTGTGAAGTGAATCCAGCTTCTCCATTATTTTGCTTATCAGAAGGCCGCAAAAGGGGATCATGTGACCCCAGGGCATTGCAATAGTCATAAATATGAGTCCACTGCCAAGCACCTGGATTTTTAATCACATGACCATGGAGATGCTGCAATAGTTGTAAGCATGAAAAACAACCATAACTGACTTTTTTGGGTGCCGTTGTAACTTTGAATGGTCATTAAAATGAATGATTGTAAATCAAGGACTGCCCATATCATTGCTACCTCTGAGGCTCTGGTCAACTAATGGTCAGAGCCAAATTGGCAATAGATAAGGCTCAGTGGAATTCCCAGGGCTGTACTGGGTTCTTTTGTGGCAACGCAACGATTCTAAACTGATGACGCCTTTTACGCCGCCTTCCAGCCCAGCCTCTTCTTCTCCTACAGAATGTTTCCTAATCTTATCTTTCTGCTGTGATCAGGTTGTGTGATCTAAGCTCCAAATGTGGGAGGACCGCAAGTCCTTTCTTTTATAGCAGTAGAAAAGTCCTATGTGTCCATAATAGGAGACATTTACGGTCCAAAATTTGACGTTGTCATTTCTTTCTTTGGCTTTTTCAGCCCACCCAAAGATGGAACTGCTAACAACCAGGAGTCCATTACTTTCTTTGCCTTCTCACTGATTGAGGGCTACATCTCCATTGTCATGGATGCAGAGACCAAGAAAAAGTGAGTGCCACACAAAGGGGAGTGTTGTGCTTTGCTGTGGCTTAGAGGAACGCAATCCCCTGAGTGGGAGTAATTTACACCAGGAGCAATAATTGCAACCCCTGCAGGGACGTTCCATAGATTTGTTGAAAGATGGATTCTCATTTGACTTGTTTAGAGGTCTATGGAAATAATCTTGAAAGAGGAATACAGGACTAAGGGTGAAATGTTGACAGTGTTCCAATATTTGAGGGGCTGCCACAAAGAAGTGGTGGTGGGGGCAACCTCTCTCCAAAGCCTCTGAAGGAAGAACAAGAAACAACGAATGGAAACTAACCAAGGAGAGATAAACCCAGAACTAAGGAGGAATTTCCGGACAGTGAGAACAATCAATCAATAGACTGACTTCCCTCCAAAAGTTGTGAGAGCCCCATCGCTGGAGGTGTTCAAGAAGAGACTGGACAGCCATTTGTCCAGGATGCACAGGGTCTCCTGCTTGGGGAGGTGAAATGGACTAGAAGACCTCAAACCTCCCTCCCAGCTCAGTTTTCCTGTGCTATTCTGTAATAGTTAATAAACCCAACCTAGCCACGGAAAGGAGAAAAGGGTGAGAAAGAAACTCAAGATTACCCCATCTTGATTCTCTTTCATGTAAGAGTCAGGAGAGAAAAATTCTGCTGGATTTTCAAAATTCTGTCGTTATATGCCCGTTACAATAAGTGAGAATTCCAGTAATCTTTGTGAAGTCTGATGCCTGACCTGTCGCGATGGATTGGCCGGTTATAGTTTGAGAGGACTTAAGCGGCCAAGACTGCGAGACGGAATCATTTGATTTGGCTTAAATTGATTCACAGAATTGTAAATTTAGAAGCAAAATACAATTTCTTTTTTTTTAATATCAAAAGGATTTAATCCCAGATACCTCCCAAGTAGTGATAGAAAAAAACAACCACCCTCTTTCTCTGGAATGGTCAACTTGAACTCAGCATTTTGGTGACTGACGGAGCCTAGTTGCACATACATCATCCATACAGGACTGGTGTTGGGCAGAGAACCTCCTGGGTCCACTGATGAAAGGGCAGACAGTAGAAGACATCTTGGAGGTTCCTTAGTTGAGTCCGGCAACCATCTGGGTTAGCTTTGCTCCAATGGGTGACGTTGTGGAGAAAATGTCGGATTTTCCTCTCCTTTCCTAGGTTCCCTAGCGACCTGCTCTTGACCAGTTCCTCAGGAGAACTCTGGAGGATGGTGAGAATTGGTGGACAGCCCTTGGGCTTTGGTGAGTTGCGTTATACTTTCTTTTCTTCCGCGCTTTATCAATGAGGATGGTGTTGCAGATCAGAGGTTCCCCTTGGAAGTAAACAGAATATGGGTTGGTAGTCCTTGACTTGTGACCACCACTGGGAGCAGATTGTCCATGTCCACTTGACTTGGGTTCCATCTCCAGGAAGAAGTCAACTCTCATTTCTAACCATCAGCACGAGCGATTTCGTGGATCTGAGATGGTGTCCCGTGTTCTCCTAGAGCAGGACCCTCCAAATTCAGCAACCTCCAAATTTGGGGACTTCAACTCGCAGAGTCTCCAAGCCAGCCACGGGAGTTGAAGTCCACAAGTCTTCAAAGTTGCCGAGTTTGGAGAGCCCTGCCTAGAGGAAAAGGGTTTCTCTCCCCCAGAAAGGATCATCTTGTTTGGTCAAATTCCAAAACCTGAGAAGGGTGGCCTTACATTAAGTGGTTGTCTCTCCTGGTCCTTCTCTTCTGCAGATGAATGTGGGATCGTGGCCCAGATCGCTGAACCACTGGCCAGTGCAGACATCTCTGCCTATTACATCAGCACCTTCAACTTTGACCACGCTTTGGTAAGCCAGGAAGGGCCTGAGGACATCCTGAGTTTGAAGCATTTGTTGTTTCGAGGTTTTTTTTTTTAATTTATATTATTTCACCTTGATTATTGTTTATAAACATCTTGAGGTGTCGAACATACCTAATACGCCTTCCTCCTCCTCCTTTCCCCACAACTACCCCGGGAAATGGGTTGAGCGAAGGAAAAGGGACTGGCTCAAATTCAACCTATTGGCTTTCATGGTAAGGGTGTGGGACTAGAACTCACCACCTCCTGGTTTCTAGCTTGGTGTCTTGACCATTAGACCAAACGTTGATCGTCCTGAGTTGTGTTGAGATGTAAGATGTGACTGTGAGTGTAAATTAAACCCCTTTCCTTTCCTTTCCTTTCCTTTCCCCTTTCCTTTCCTTTCCTTTCCTTTCCTTTCCTTTCCTTTCCTTTCCTTTCCTTTCCTTTCCTTCCCTTTCCTTCTTTTCCTTTCCCTTCTTCCTTCCCTTCCCTTCCCCCAACCAGAATAACATGGCGGCCAATTTAATAAGACAAGAATGTTGTTCTTAATAGCAGTATTGAACTGGTTACACATCTGAAGACGACCCTCCCTCCCTGCAAAAAATAGCTTGAGCCCTTGCAACTAGCTTTTTACCTTCTCCGTGCCATTCCTTCCAGGTTCCAGAAGATGGCATTGGCGAGGTCATTGAAGTGCTCCAGAAACGCCAGGAGGCTGGGAGATAACCACCTGGGCTCCCTTTGTCTCAGGTGTGGGTTGCAGAAGCCAAACTGATGGATCTGGTCCAGCCTTACTCCCCATGGATGTTCCTGGCGAGAGAGAGAGAGAGAGAGAACAGGGCAGCCCAGCTGCTCTGCAAGCCAAATTATCTTTCTGGGGACTCGTATTTGTGTGGAGGACATGCCTAACTTTTTCACCTGAAGATACCTTCCATTTCTCCCAGGGGAGAAACGTGTGCCTTGTTGTCCCAATTCTCCAGACTGACCAACGGGGTTCGAATTCTCTAGGTAGATTTCAGTATTACGGCTTCTCCTGGTTTCCTCAGCCGTCTTCGTGGTCCCTGATTATCTGCTGTCTCTAGAGAGACCCTCAGAGACAAATTGCCATTCATGAGGACTTGCTTCTTGGTCACGAAGGAGAGGTTTTCTTCTCTTTCTCTCTCTAATTTTGCACATCTTCTGAGACTTCTAAAAGCGTCCTTGGGGACAGGGACGATGTAACTTAAATTAGAATTGCATTCCATGCCCCGCAAGGAAAGGATGATGTTCTCCAGAAACAATGTTCTCCTGATGATTGATTGAAGGTCTTCAGAAGGTGATAACCCCAACGTATTTGGAGACCAAACAGCCCTAGCTTTAGAGTCAGTGCAGTCCCTTTTCAGTGCACAATGTCAAGAGTAGAAAACACTGGATTTAAAAAAAAAAACAGGAGCTGTTTGTAGGGAGGGCTGGAGGAATGATCAGAAGGAGGAAAGAAAGAACTTTGGACCTCAGTGTCCTTTGTTCTATGACTGCTAAAAGGAGATAAATCAGTGTTTTTTTTGGTGGAGGGGGTGGGTTGCTCCTGCAACTTCCCCTCCTTCTGTTCTCATGCCGTTGGTGAGCAGTATTACATACAACCAACACGAATGGATTTGAAGCATTCGCTGTCAAATATTTTGGAGGGACAGGTTGGGAGAAAACGTGGGTTGACAAAGCTCCCTCTCTCCCCCACCCTCCTTTCTGAAGCCTTCATGCCTTAAAAGTGCCTTCTTGTGACTAACCTTTCTGAAGGACAAACAATCTTGTAAGCTACGGCCTTAATCTGGTACGAAATTACAATGGCCTGAAGGATGAAGAACTCACAAATTTGCACGGAACGTGGGATGGAAGTCGAGACGTCCTCTGGTTTGTGTTGGGCGACACCCAGGGTGTCTTCCCACCCCATTGGGGACCTCTTGTGAGGTCTCTTCTTGGGGACCAGTGAGAAGGTTGAGTTTAGATATCGCCCCAAACTCCTCCTGCGCGAAAGAGAAGGATGGCCGTTGCGTAACAACCCTAGTCTTTCTGCTTCTCCCGTTTTCTTAGATTGCTATGAAAGGGGGGAGGGTTTGTCCACCCCATCGGCCAGCCCAAGTCCCCGTGATTGTAACCTTGAGTTGACTTGAGTTGAATGTTGACTTCTCAAAAGCATCGGTAGAAGGTGACCTTCGTAGGTGTCCTCTCACCACTACAGATTGATGGGCCTTCCCAGACTTTAGGTTTTCTAGAAAGTTCCTTGAGCCTTCTGCAAAAGTTGAGAGTCATGATCCAACATGGACCATCAACCATCTTCTCTTTAAGAGAAGAGAAGAAATTGGGAACAACAAAAGCTGGCCTGAAACATAGATTTGTGGAGTTGCTCAGGAAAGACACAGGGCGCACTGTTCACATCGGTGGCCTGTAGCCACCCTGATCTTAATTTGTATTTGTTGGTGCTAAACTAGGCTAAGAAGTTGTGCTCCTTCTCTGCAGTCCTCAAATGGAAGCCTTTCTTTTAGCTGTGGCTAGGATTCAGGTTTCTTTATAAAGTTCTGTATAATTTGTTGGTTTGTTTTTTGCATAGTTTTAAATTTTTCTCAATAAAGGTCATTTTAAACATGTTTTTTGTTTTCCAAACATCTAATAAAACAGTGTATCTCTCATCTGTGGCACAAAGTTTTGGCTTGATGCATTGGTAGCACCTGTTTTGGGGGGGTTGTGAAACTTAAGCCGGCCTGTGTGTGTTTTAAAAGATGAACAGGGGGGGAAAAGCTGTATTTAAGATAGTTAGATGTACAAAAAGGCCTTCCTGAACCACACCCAAGTCATCTCTCTGTATAGGGAGACCTTCTCAAGATAATACCACCCAAAGGGCATTGGACTTCAATTCCCGTAATTCCTCTGGTAGCCTGGATTGTTTTAGCTTTGCCGTTCTCGCACTCAAGCAGGAAATCTTTCAACTGTTAAAAAAACTAAATAAAGCAGTTGGATTGAAGCGCGTTTTTGCAAACCACATAAATGCATCGCGACTTCAAAAGGTGCTCGGATGTTCTATCTTATATCAAGCTAACTATAAAAAAAAATAATGAAGTTATGATTTATTGTTCTGATTATTAGGACAGATTACAGAAAATAGAAGAATGATGTTATAAGTATACAGCAAGAGGTGAACATAACTATCTTCTGTAGAGAGATCAACACGCTACTTTGTCGTTTTATTTTTATTTCTATTTTTTTTTCTTTTTCCTTTCTTGCACCTCTCTTTTTCTTACTTTATATTAGTTCGTGTTTTGATAGTTTTGGCAAAGATTTGTCTGGAATGGAACAAGGGGGTTGATATATTTTCACCAGCAGAGGGAGCTAGAGACCACTTTTATATTGAGAAATGTGTGTCTCATCCCATAAGTAATTTCTCTTTTGTTCACCCCTAAAGATGGAGTGGTTGGTTTGGTGGTTGTTTTTTTTTTTCCACGTATAAAAAGTCTTCAATATTGGAAATTTGGGGCGGGGAGAAATGCTGCAAGCAATCCAGTTTGGGCTGAGACTTGTTTTTGAATCCCAGTGGACAAATGGGGGTGTCTGGACTGAGCCAAATTCTAGCTAGGAATTGGGATACACAACGGCCTCTTGCTTTATAAAAGCACCCGTGGAAAGCTGGAAATACTAATTTTTTCTATGTGCAGAGGAATAAAATATTTTGTGGGGAGCCCAGGGCACAAGCATGCAATGAAGGGGTCCTTGGTACTCTTCTGAGCTTTCTGGTTTTCCTGCAGACGTTTCATAACCCAACCAGGTAACATCATCAGCGCTAGTAAGGGAGTGGGGTTTGCTGACAGTTTATATTCTGGTGGCTTGACTTGTCGGCGCTGGTGGGGGCAGCCTTAGAGATTCTTTGGTGGAGCTGTTTTCTCTTGGCTTCGTTGGCAGATTCTTGATTGGGGTGGGGTTTACTTGATTGATGGTATATATAACTGATATCACTTTGGAGTTAATCGAAGCTGATCTGGGTGCTGATTGCTGATGGAGAGGTGAGGGGGGGGGTCTTTTTCTCTTTGGGGATGGTTAATTGTCTCTTTTGCATAATCTATAGATGTTGTTCATGTCTATGTGTCTGTTGATGGCTGATTTGTCAGAGTTGCCGGGCTTCTAGAAATTCCCAAAAGACCAGCAAGCCACTAGAATATAAACTGACAGCAAACTCCGCTCCTTACTAGCACTGGTAATCTTACCTGGTTGGGTCAGCTTAGAGAGCACCAAAGACCCCACCGTAGAATTTCATTCACGTGAGCCTGAGGAGGTGCAAAGCTCCTTTTTTAAAGGGCCGTTGTAACTTTGAAGAGACACACGATGAACTGGGGTTTAAGTCCAGGGCATTACCTGTCCTCGCTAGAGAAGCTTCTTTGCCAGTTTCTTCGCCGATGGCACCCTGGGAAATTATTTTGGCTCTTGGCTGTTGAATTTCACATGGATTAGAAATCTTGGCCGGAACTTCAAGAGGTCCCTTCCTTCTGTCTTTTTTCTTCTGTTCTTTTGGTGTTTCGACTGAGTCACGAGGCAGTGATGACATCGAGGAAAAGGGCCCGAAGATTAAGTAAAGCCGCAGCTCCTATTTTAATACCCAGTTCTGGGTAGAAAGTTCTCCTTTCCTTCCCTTATCTTCTTCCAAGGAATGTACTGGCAAAACTGAATCTGCAGACTTAGAGGAAGGGAGGAAGGGAAGGAAAATAATGTTTATTTTTACCCACAGGGAGGAGGACCTGCACGCTTATATCCTCCTATAATGGGAGGCTAACGGATGGCTCAGCAGCTAAAAAAATTATGGAGAGCAGATCTTTCCTTTAAAAAAAAAAAAGGGAATGTATTATCATATCACATACTCTCTGGGCTTGGTCGTTTTCTTGCAGATGTTTCATTACCCAAACTGGGAAAGCACCAAGGATCCCACAGTCTTCCTCCTCCTCCTCCTCCTCCTCCTCCTCCTCCTCCTCCTCCTCCTCTTCCTCCTCCTCCTCCTCCTCTCTGCAAACCCCATTCTCTTCTACTGCTGATGATGTTAGCTAGTTTGGTAATGAAATGTCTGCAAAAAAACAACCAAGCTCAGAGAGCGCCAACATTTCACAATTCTTCTTCTTCCTCCTCCTCCTCTTCTTTGCAAAAACCCCTCTCTTCTAGTACTGATGATGTTACCTAGTTTGAAAGGCCTGCAAGAAAACAACCAAGCTCAGAGGCCACCCTTCATTGCAAAATTTCTGTCCTGGGCTTCAAAATATTTTATTCCTCTGGAAGTTGTGGATGCTCCATCACTGGACAGTTTCAAAAAAACAGACTGCACGGACACTTGCCCCGAGTGGTATAAAGTCTTCTGCTTTGAGCAAGGGGTTGGACTAGAAGACCTCCCAGGTCCCTTTCAGCCCTGAGATACTTGTAAGGCTATTCAAAATACAGTCGTGCTGAAGGTCTGGTATCCTCAAATACAGATAAGGGTTCATGGTTAACATACTTTGCAGCATTTTGGCAGTAGGGGAAAGTTCAGAAGAGGAAAATGACAAAATATTCCAAAAATAATTTGCCGGGGGGGGTGGGGGGATTATTTACGGAACATCACATTACTTGAAAAACTTGAAAATACATGTAAATTTTGGTCTGTATTTATCGTAGTCGGTCAAGCACTCAAGCACACATTCATCTATGCATTGCATAAAGACATTTTCATGTGAATTTGCAATATCCAGACACAGTCCTGTTGGTAAAAGGGTCAGAATATTTGAGGCTTGGAAACTACAAAGAAAGAAACGGAAGTCAACAGATTATCTAATCTTTATCTGTACACAGGCATTTTCTAATCTGCAATTCTCCCTTGCAAATGGAGAGGATTATAATTCTGTGAAGTAAAAACAGTCAGGGTGAGGCAATGTTTTAAAACTGCCTGCATCCTGGATGACAAAGCCCATCTGCTAGCTTCACCTAGTATGCTATACCTAAAAACAGGGATGCTATATGATATACTAAAATACAACAGTTCATTTAGTGACTATTCAAAGTCACAACAGCACTGAAAAAAGTGACTTACGACCGTTTTTCACACTTACGACCGTTGCCGCCTCCCCACGGTCATGTGATCAAAATTTAGACGTTTGGCAACTGACTCATACTTATGACGGAGTCACGTGATCAAAGCTATTCTAGTCTAAGTCAAGTTGGGCACCCTGAATTTCAATGTATCTCTTCACTGAAAAGAGGGACGTGGTGGCTCAGTGGCTAAGACACTGAGCTTGTTGATCAGAAGGTCAGCAGTTCGGCAGTTCGAATCCCTAGCACCGCGTGACGGAGGGAGCCCCCGTTCCTTGTCCCAGCTTCTGCCAACTTAGCAGTTCGAAAGCACGTAAAAAAAAATACAAGTAGAAAAATAGGGGCCACTTTGGTGGGAAGGGAACAGCGTTCCGTGCGCCTTTGGTGGTTAATCATGCTGGCCACATGACCACGGAGACGTCTTCGGACAGCGCTGGCTCTTCGGCTTTGCAACGGAGGTGAGCAGCGCCCCCTAGAGCCAGAAACAACTAGCACGTAGGTGCAAGGGCAACCTTTACCTTTATTCACTGAAAAGACTTTAGGTGATCACCCACCTTAAAAACACAATTCTAGGTGGCACAACCACATAGAAACAAGCCAACAACAACAAAAAGCGATAGACAATAAGAACAAAACCTGGTTGGCTCTCCATCTTTCTCCAATGCATCTGCCCAACGGTTCCTGTTCTTCCCCTTCTCCATATTTCATGATCCGTCTTTCAGAGAGAGAAGCCTTTCGGATTCCTTGATGTCAACAACGGTTGCAATTGCATCACTGTCAAGACCGAAGACCCTGGTCACCCACAGAAGGGGAAGTATCCGGCCTCTGTTACCATGGGCTTCTTGCTCTTGTGACCCGTGTTGACCTCAGGGAACCTGATGCCAAGCTCGGCTGGGTTGCGCTTCCCTTCGTGCCCTGCCTTGGTGAGTGCTTCTTCTTTCTCGAGTGTGTCTGCAAGTGTGGGTTTTGTGTGTGGGCGAGGAGAGCCACGCCCAACCCGAAGAGATGACTGCAACCAAGGTTCCCCCTTTTGTCAGTCAACTGCAGAAGAATGGTGGAGAAGTCTTTAGCGGTCGCCGTTCATCTCGGTAGGTGGTGACTCCACATTTCCTTCTCTGTGTGTGTGTGTATGTGTGAGACAGCCCTTCGGCAGGACCGATCCTGAACCCCACTTTCTCCTTCTCTTTCTTCAATGTTCTGCCCTGTTGATGAGTGTTCAGCAAAAAATTAGTTTCCTGGAGAACCAAGAAACCGTAGCTAGAGAGGAAACTACCCATTTTTAATCCTTCAGGCTGGCCTCTTGAGCGGCTGGAGGTTTTGAGGTTGATATGGCATCCCACCTAGAAAACCTGAACTGCGGCAACTAGCCGAACCTCAAGATGACCTGAAGACCTCCAAGGTCCCTTCCAACTCTAGGACTCTATGATTCTATGACTCGTTCCAGGCAGAACGTTTCTTGATTATCCTACCATCATTAATTCCATTTGACTTCATTTCATGTCGGTTCAGTTCCATTTGAGTTCTATCTTGACTCCTGGCTCCTTTCATTATCCAACTAGGTAACATCAGCAGTGCTAGGAGGAGGAGGAGGAGGAGGAGGAGGAGGAGGAGGAGGAGGAGGAGGAGGAGGAGGAGGAGAAAAGAGGACTGTGGGGTCCTTGGTGCTCTCTGAACTTGGTTGTTTTCTTGCAGATGTTTCATTACCCAACTAGGTAACATCAGCAGTGGGAGGAGGAGGAGGAGGAAGAGGAGGAGGAGGAGGAAAGAGAACTGTGGGGTCCTTGGTACTTTCTGAACTTGGTTGTTTTCTTGCAGACATTTCATTACCCAAGTAGGTAACATCATCAGTGCTAGTCAGCACAGTGCTAGTCAGAAGAGGAGAACCATCCATGAACAATGACAGTTTACCTCATTGCAACTTCAGGGCAAAACATGAATTTAAAATATTTTAAATCGTGTTAACACCCCCTTCTCCTCATTGCTCTGGGAGTCAAGCATCCACAGGCGAATATTAGAGCCCCAAACAGCTCAGTCTCAGCAAAAGGCAGCATGGATATTGCTGTCTTTCCAAAGAAGTGAATTTTCAAAATCGAGGCAGTTTTTGTTGAACCAAATTCCATATAAATAAACCGCTGCCTGCGAATCGCGTCAAATTGCACTTCGTTCTCAGCAATGACAACTCACAAGTGTGTTTTCTTCTCCTTTTCGACCTTCCTGTCCAGTCTTGGCATCCATTTTTTGGCTTTTGTGTCCGACTCTGGTGGATTCCACCTCCAGCATCTGCCCCAGGTGCCCAGCAGATGCAGAATTTCTGCAGAAAATTCGGCTGCAGATCATGTGGTTGAAACAACCAACTCGAGAATTATACAAATCTTACGTGAGTAAAATTGCCTTTCTTTCTTTCTTTCTTTTCTTTCTTTCTTTCTTTCTTTCTTTCTTTCTTTCTTTCTTTCTTTCTTTCTTTCTTTCTTTCTTTCTTTCTTTCTTTCTTTCTTCCTTCCTTCCTTCCTTCCTTCCTTCCTTCCTTCCTTCCTTCCTTCCTTCCTTTTCTTTTTATTGGACTGCTGGCGGTTTTCGTTTGAAGCTTTGCGCCTGACCATTTTCTGCTTTGCAGCAGCTAGTCCTTGACTTATGATCCATTCCTTTTGTGACTTCTCGAAGTTACACCAGCCCTGATAAAAGGGACTTTTTTCCACACTCATGACCATCGGCAGCATCCCTGTGGATACAAATTCGGACTCTTGGCAACAGGTTCATAGTTATGACGATTGCAGGGGATGCTACAAATGGCTAAACGACCGGTTGTAAGTCAAGGACATCCTGTGTGGTTGCTGTGGTTGGATTAGACAACTTTTATATCACTTTATCTAGAGGTAAAGGAGAGCCATATCCTTGGACACCTGTAGAATTGTTTGACTGGAGGAAGAAGATAGGCCTTCTTGGTGGGCTGGTCCTTAGGACATTCAACCATCTAGGACGGGGGTCTCCAACCTTGTGGACTTCAATGCCCAGAATTCCTCAGCCGGCTTTGCTGAAGTTGCCAAGGTTGGAGACCCCCTGATTTGGAAGCTGTTTTGGAGGAAACAGAAGAGCTTCAGGGGATTCCTCGACTCCAAGATCTGGCTCAGATTCCAGACATTCACACCTGAGGGCAAGGCCACCTGTTGGTAACCTTCATGTGCGTTGAGCAATCTCCGCTGTTGCCCTCCAGGCAGAGGACACTGAAGGGTGAATGATGGTTTCATCACAAGCTGAAATGGCTTTGGGGGATGTTCTTCTTGCTGGGCTTCCTGCCTGTTGACTCAAGAGATGTCACGAGACATCCTTTCCTCCTCCTCCTCCTCCTCCTCCTCCTCCTCCTCCTCCTCTTCTTTTTCTTTTTCTTCTCCTCCTCCTCTTCTTCTTCTTCTTCTTCTTCTTCTTCTTCTTCTTCTTCTTCTTCTTCTTCTTCTTCTTCTTCTTCTTCTCCTCCCCCTCCCCCCTCTTCTTCTTCTTCTTCTCCTCCTCTTCCTCCTCCTCCTTTCCCACTCCTCTTCCACCTCTTCTTCTTTTTCTTCTTCTTCTCCTCCCCCCTCCACCTCTTCCTCCTCCTCCTCTTCTTTCTTCTTTCTTCTTCTTCTCCCTCTCCTCCTCACTCCTCCTCCTCTCTCATACTGATTTATCTTACCCTTCCATCTTTACCTACTGGGCTTTATACTATTTTATTACGTTTCGCTTTGGCTGTGCGTTCAGCGATATTATCTCTTCTCAGAAGGCCAACGGTTTTTTGACTTTACGCCCCTCTGATTTTGCACCCAGCTGACTGGCATGGACCTGCAGGATGAGCTGCGCAAGTTTTGCGAGGTGCCCGTCGCTTGGCTCCTCCCCAGGAGAAACATCACCAAGGAACCGGAGGGGGTCCTGCTGCAAGAACTCTACGGGGTCGTGGTCCGTTTGGAGAGGGCTCTGAAGGCCTTGGACAATCAGCTGGCGGAGGAAGAGAGGCCGGTGCCCCGCCAGCTGGCCACAGTGTCCCTCTCGCTATCCGGCCTCCTTTCGAACATCCAGTGTGCCCAGTGCCGAAGGGGCCTTCGCCCAGTCCCCGTCGCGCCTTCAGAAAGGAGCCAAAACTCCTCGTCCTTCGCTCAAAAGATAGAAGGTTGCCAGGTCCTTTGGAATCTCTCCAGGTTCATCCGGGGTTTAGCCAAGGTTTTCCAAAAGCAGAGCGTGAAAAGCAAAAGGCCAGAGAGGCAGAAAAAAAAGAAGCGGGAAACACAGCGCTCCTTTTCCAATAACTCGTCAGTAGTGAGGCTGTAGACCTCACTAGTCCGGGGACCGATTCCGTGGAGAGGTGTTTTTCCGTGGACAGGTGGGCAGGCCTGGTTTCATTTTTCCTTCAGACGGAACTCCGTTTGGTTGTGCGGTCTGGTTTCTGGCCTGTCGCAGTCCGGTCCGGTCCACGGATTGTGGCGGGTTGGAGATCCCCGCTGTAGAGCATGACAGACAGGTGTCACTCATCCAGCCTGTCTTTGGGATCGTCTGAAAGGTTGAGGCGTACACCTCCAGAATTTGGATCCTGCAACCCAGAGAGTCAGGAAAAAGAAGAAGGTTTTCGAGACAGAAATTTGGGTCTGGAGCCCCCAAGCGTGGAGATTCTCAGCCATCCAAGTCATAGTTGTCTCAAAGGTGCTTTTTCAAAAGGCATCTGGACTGGGTTTTCTTTTTTCCCTTGAGGAAAAAAAATGAAGACGTTTCGCTTCTCATCCATGAAGCTTTATCAGTTCTCTGGCAGGAGTTTGGGGTGATCGAAGGGTCACGTTTCTTTGCAGTCATCTGGTCATTAGTATTCTCCCTGAGAACCTCCAAGATCCCTTCCAATTGCGATTCTACGTTCTATGTTACATTCTCGTAGCAATTGGAAGCGAGGAAAGGCGGATTCAGGACTCGGCATTTTAACGACTAAAATTTAGGGAACCCCAGACAAAACAAACTCCGCCCCCCACAGTGACATCACCGTACAAGCCCCTCCTTCATAATCCTTACCCCCAGAGGGAGGGGGCCATAAGGGACTTGTACTGAAAGCTAGTCTTCTTCCTTGTTTGCCAGCAAAGAAAACAGAACCAGCTTATCTGGGCTTGTTTTTTTTGGCTGGGAATTGCCTGGTTTTTGTTAGCAAGAAGAATTTGTGCAGGGTTTTTTTTCCCCGCTTTTTAATAATAATAATAATAATAAAAATATACTAGAACTCAAGTTAATGTCCATTTCCAAGGTTATCCCAGGGTGGCAGAAAAATGGTTTTCAGTAGGAACCAGGCCGTTTTTCCCCAGTGATTCAGTAACAAATGATCCTGCCTGACTAAACATCTTGATGCGACAAAACTCACAATGATCCACAACTGGATTGGATGCATGTGATTTTTCACTGTTTGCAAAGACCGTTTCTGCTCCCAAGAGGCCTCCGTCCATTGCTGGGGTGGAAAAATCCTGCTCTGCCCCTACCCACCCCACAGTTCTCATCCAATTGGGTTAAGAGAATAAGAGGTCATGTTTTCGGAGTAGGAGTGGTGTGGTGGCCCAGAGGTGGAGCTCTTGCCTCACAATTGGTAGGCTTGTGAGTTCAATCCGAGGTAGAGGCAGATATTTCTCTCTCTGGGCGCCATGAGAATATATCTGCTGAATATAACTCTGTGTTGGTGACAGGAAGGGCATCTGGCCATTAATACACCCTGCTAGCTCCATTCAATTGCCCAGACCCCACCCTGCAAGGGATTATTGTGTCGTTAAATGAAGAAGATGATGTGTTTTTAGAATGTGTGTTAAGGTTGCACTTAAGGGTTGCACACAATGTGATAGTTGGACCTACCCATTTTTTGGTGGGTTCAGACAATACGAGGGACTCTCCATGAAGGAAACAGGCGGTGTACTGTACGAACAAGCCGAGTTACTAAATGCAAACTAAGATTAACACTAATCATGCTATTCGTGTTGTGAAAACATACTTGACCTAGGTAAACATGTGCCTGCATGAAGTTGGTGCAGGGGTGTGTGATGTGTGAAGGTTGTTGTTTGTTGTCGATGCTCTCTTTCGTGGTTTGTAGCCTTCCTGTCACCCTACAAAATAGACCGCCTCACACACAAAATAACATTAAAAAACCCATACAGGTAGTCTCGACCTACAACAGTTCATTTAGTGCCCGTTCCAAGTTACAGTGGCACTGAAAGAACTGACTTATGACTGTTTTCACACTTACGTCCCTGTGGTCACCTAATCCAAGTCCAGGTGCTTGACAATCGATTCACATTTATGACGGATGGCCCCTTTTGGGACTTCTGGTGAACAAAGCCAATGGGGAAGCCAGATTTGCTTATTAACTTCACGTTATTAACTTAAAGACTGCAGTGATTCACTTAACAACGGGTGGCAAGAAAAATCATAAAATGGGGTCAGATTCACTTAGCAAAATGTCTCACTCAGCCGCAGAAACGTTGGGCTCGATGGTGGCCATTAATCAAGATTAGCTGTCACCAACTTTATTGAGAGAGGCCAATGCTTGAAAAAAAAATCTCAGCGGATAGGTGGCCTTCAACTCCCAGAATTCCCCAGCCAGGATGGGGGAAGTTGATCCACACCTCTTTCTGGGAAATACTGAGATAGAGTATTAGTGGTATATCTCAGCCTGAGCTACTTTAAGATCAGTGGACTTCCATTCCCAGAATTCCCTAGCCAGCATGGGAATTCTGGGATTTGAAGTCCGTCCCTCCTCAATTGTTGAGGTTGCGTAACTTTGACTCAAGGGATATGGGTTTTTCAATTTCTGGAAATTCTTGAAATGCACACATCCTGCTGGCTGGGGGAATTCTGGGAGTTGAAGTCCACCTGTCTCAACGTTGCTGAATCTCACAAAGTCCAAGATGGGATAAAGTGACAGAATTTTGCGAGACTGGTCGTGGTTTGCTGTTTTTTCCAGCAAAAGGAAGGTTCTGGAGAGCCTCTTTATTGCCTTTTTCCAAAATGGGAGACAACTCTCACCGCTAAAATTGGATGGGTTGTTTCGAAAGTTCATTTGCGCCCAGCTGTTTTCTGAGATGTGTAATAATATGATTTCATTATTTATTGAACTTCATAGATCTTCGTGCCTAAAAGCCTATTTAAAATGTTGCAATTGGTATTTATATGGATGTATGTGTTTTGTTTTGTTGATGTTGTGTGTGGGGTGGGGTTGTTTAATCTTCTGTTATCCTGGGCTGTTTTAGCTCTGAGATATTTTGTCTGGCATATTTATGACTTTGGCAGAAGAAACTGGTGCATGAAAAAATTGTATGCTCACAAGGACTGGGTCTCCTTGGCTGGGAAGAACATCCTTTTAGGCAAACAAAGAAAAAAGTTGTATCCTGTTCCTGATTAACTAATACAATTATCGTCCTTTGGATATTTTCATAAATATGTGGTTTTTTTAAAAAAAAATGTGTACAATGCGTGTTTCATTTTTTTCATCAGTTCTTTAGTGCTTTCATTCGCCCAAATGGGGAGATAATTTATCGTTTGTCTGAAACAGGATGGATGGATGGGTGGATAGATGGAAGGAAGGAAGGAAGGAGAGAGAAAAATAGGGAGAGAGGAGAAAGAAAGAGAGAGGAAGGAAGGAAGGAAATTATGAAGGTTTTTATTCTTTATGTCCATTTGCATTTTTGCATTTTTATATCGGTTTTATATATTTGATAGTCAATTGAGTTAATTTATAGTCTTTATCTTCTTCTTCCTGTTTCCTCCTCCTCCTCCTCCTCCTCCTCCTCCTCTTCTTCTTCTTCTTCTTCATCTTCATCCTATTTTATCTTGCTCTTCCATCTTTACCTCCTGTACTTTATTCCATTTTATCTCACGGTAGCTATTTTATCTTACCTGATTGTATCTTATCTTATCTCCTTTTATTGTATTTTACCGTGGGTCATGCTCATGTCTGATGTCAATTGATCCATCAATAATCCCATGTGTGTTAGTCCCTTGGGAACGCACCCCGCAAGCCATGTGGCACTTCCAGCTGCAAAAGAATTAAAATTTAAAGCACCGAGATTATGGGACTGCCCCGGCCCTTGGAATGTAGGTGGGTGTTGGAGGGGAGGGGAAATAGTTGTAGATACAGCTAATCATCAAAGAACCGGAAGTGAGGGACAAGGAGAAATGTAGAAACTTTGATATGAGGAAGGATAATGCAGTTATTCCCTGTAATCCTCCAGGGGGAGGAAGGAGTATTGTGTATTATATGTATGTTTACTGGCTTGAGTTATATATAAGTAATAAGGCAGGATAAAAATGGTTGCAGGAACTGGGTAGGTCCAGCCTAAGGAAGAGAAGAACTATGGGTGATATGACAGCAGTCTTTCAATATTTGAGGGGCTCCTACAAAGGTGAGGGGGTTAAACTACTTTCCAAAGAATCAAAAGACAAGACAAGAAACAATAAATGGGAACTAACCAAGGAGAGACGCAACCTGGAATTAAGGAGAAACTTCCCAACTTCAGGGGAATAACTTGCCTCCATAAGTAATGGGTGCTTCATCACTGGAGGCTTTCGAGAAGAGACTGGACAGCCACTTGTCTGGAATGATAGTCTTGTGCTGGAATGGGGGGGGGGGAGTTGGACTAGAAGACCTCCAAGATCCCTTCCAACTTTGTGTTATAAACAGATCTAATAAATAAAACAGAAAGGAGACTTTGATGATTGATGGTTGCCATTGTCCAATTTTTGACGCCCCTTCCCTGATGTCCTTGTGGGAAGAGCAATGTTCATTGAATGGAGATGCGATGCATTCCTCTTGAGCAGATCACAATATGCACCTGTAACACACACACACACACACACACACACACACAAATAAAGGCTTCAAACTTTCAAGATAGCCAAGAGCTTTCAGCTTGACTAGTAAAAGTATTTGGCCAAAGGGAGAACATCCGAGGGAACGGGAAGGAAGGAAGAAAGCATGCAAACATAGCTATGCATACTTTGAGATAATCTCCCTGCAATAAATGTTTTTTAAAAAGATGTTTTCCTCTACCCTCCCCCCGGCTCTGCCTCAGTTTCGCCTTTCTCTAAGTTCCTGTGATGTCAAGAGGCATTGAGACGTTTGGTATGAATTCACTCGTGTTTCACAATGGTCTTTGGTGGAATATCTCTCATTGTCACGATTTCCAAACCTCATCCGTTTCTTGCAGCTAAGAAAGGAAGGTGAAAGGTGAATTTAGCAGCTCTGGACAAAAGTGAAGGAAATGAACGGCCCAGCTTGGGGCGGGTGGGAAGAGGGGATCTGATCCAGGCGCTCG